TAAGTACAGTAGAACGCCGATTATCCGAATTAATTGGGACCGGGGTCGATTCGGATAATCGAAAATTCGGATAATCGGACATAGACTGGTAATAAAGAAAAACGAACTGTCACACATAGAATAAACTTTATTAAGTTTAACAAACTCAATTCTACAATATGTAAGTAAAAAACAAACGTTCCGTTTCACGGAAGCCGCGCGACGCAAAACATGTAGTGTCTTGCCTCTAGCTTTCAACCATAACAGTTGAAATATATTTGGACTCCAGCGAGTTTCAACTTGTGACAACAAAACAAAACAAAAATTACATTATGTACTTACTTACAGTGCTTGGTTTTAATTTTTTATATTACGCTTAGGACCGATTCGGATAATTGGCGATTCGGCTAATCGGCGTTCGGATAATCGGCGTTCTACTGTACTTACAAATAAAATATACCCCATGAAAACGCTGCAAACTTTTTCCATTTGTTTAAAATTTAAAACAACATGTATACCAAGCTTCAAGTAAATTTAACCACAAATAAATTGTCCCAAACAAAAATTGCAACACTTTTTATGTTGAATTTTTTAAAATGTCGAGATACGTCTTTCAGAAACTAAACGAGAGACCATTAAGACCAAGTTTCAAGTAAATCTGACCACAAATAATATATGTCCCATTTAAACATTGCAACTCCTCTTCACCACTTCTCCCCCCCAACAGAGATTGAANCCGTTCACGGTCACTAGTTATTGCTAAAGATTTTATTAAAAATAATTAACTCGTTTTTTACGTTATTAAACTGAAATGAACGTTGGATTTTTTTTTTAATAAGACGGTAAATTATGAACGTTCGCAGTGTTTATTTACACAGACATCAGCAAGCATTCAATAGCAGTAAACAGGTGGTTTTTCATTTTATATTCAAGGACAATTTGCTTAATGTAATTTTCAAATTGCTGGTTGATTGTTGACTAAAATGAACCAATAATAACTTTTTTTTATTGTGCATTCTTGTGCCAAAATGTACAAAGTAGAACAGGTACGTGTATGTGAATATTTTGATAGTTGAACTTTTGAACTGTTTTCGCAGACTAAAAAAAAATGCATTGTTGCACACAACGTCGGTTTACTGATGAAACTTTGAGTAGATTATTTTTGATTCAATTATGTCTATATATACTGGCTTTTCCCCGCAGTTTCGCTCCCAGAAATTAATATTGTTTCTCCATAAAACCTTTTAACTCCCAAATCACCCTTACAACATTTTAATTTTATGTAATGTCACCATCTTAGATTTCAAATACAATCGTAGCAGCAACATTTCATCCTTAAGGGTCAATTTTTAAAAATTGCCAAAACACGTATTTGCTTAATTTCAACAATGAGCAACCTTCGAATAAATCCGAGTACAGTAGAACGCCGATTATCCGAATTAATTGGGACCGGGGTCGATTCGGATAATCGAAAATTCGGATAATCGGACATAGACTGGTAATAAAGAAAAACGAACTGTCACACATAGAATAAACTTTATTAAGTTTAACAAACTCAATTCTACAATATGTAAGTAAAAAACAAACGTTCCGTTTCACGGAAGCCGCGCGACGCAAAACATGTAGTGTCTTGCCTCTAGCTTTCAACCATAACAGTTGAAATATATTTGGACTCCAGCGAGTTTCAACTTGTGACAACAAAACAAAACAAAACAAAAATTACATTATGTACTTACTTACAGTGCTTGGTTTTAATTTTTTATATTACGCTTAGGACCGATTCGGATAATTGGCGATTCGGTTAATCGGCGTTCGGATAATCGGCGTTCTACTGTA